ATTGATCGATACCGCGTATCTTCGTGATCTGCTTCAAATAATTTATTTGATGTTTTTGTTTAATTATCAAAAAACGAATGACTGATATTCAAATCAAAAATAATCTCTGATACTTTTTAGAGTGAATTGTCATTCTGAACCAAAGTCGCACTCTTAAAGATTAATGCCGTATTTATAATCAGACCTTATATTTAAGGCTTCCTTAAATTTATCTTCAGATACTCCACGAATTATTTCATTGGCTACTGAGCATCTAAAGATAAATTTAAGGAAGCCTTAAGTACAAGGTCTGATTATGAATACGGAATGCATAAAAGTTGGTCCACTCTTTTTCAAGACTGACTCAATTTTTACACTTTAAAGTGCGATTCCTCTTCACAGAATTTCGAGAATATCCAAAGTGAAACGATGATCTGCGGATAATGCCGGTGAAATAAAATTTTATGATTTCAAGTGAAGCGATTTATTTCGCGTGCGCGATAAGACGGAACAAAGACTTTCCAATGATGTTTACCGCTCGATATTGTTATTGTACGTTTATCTATCGGCCATGCACATCGATTCAAGCGTTTCGAGTAACATTAAAGAGAAATCTCATTTTCGAGTAACATTAAAGAGAAACGTATCTCATTTCTTGAAGAAAATCATCCACTTCCTAAAACTTTTTCTAAAATAATCTTAGATGCATTTGAGATGCACGCGTATGATTAAATTGAGATTTGTGTGTTTCTTTGGGTTCAAAAATTATAGGTATATCGACGTACGTCGGACGTACATAATTGATGTACATCGGAAACGTCTGAGATATCATGCTGTATCGGCCTTCCTGCAAAATTGCGATCACTAACCCTATACTCGTAAGAAACGAGCACGTCGGATTATTCCTTTTATAATGGATTCCTCATCGGAAACTCGGAGAAACACATGCACATTACTCATATTACTTATGAATTAGAATGTCGGGTTGCGCTCACGCGAATAAAAATAAAGAGATGAAGGCGATTGTCCATCGCGATTCTCCAATAACTTGATTTTATCATAACAAAAATTTCAATAAACAGCATTGAAAACGATCAATTCTAATCTCCAATTAATTCTTTTTATACATTAAAAAAAAATATAGTCAATTTTAATAAATATTTAGTTCAATACTGCCAACTAAACATTTACTTACAGTAAATAAATATTTGTGTTCAGTAAAAAAAATGATTGTTAAATCAAATTAATGTTTCTTGTATCAAATAAATATATCTTTATATTTAATAAATATTTAGTTGGCAATATTGAACTAAATATTTATTAAAACTGACCATATTTTTTTTCAATGTAGTACCACAAAGACCGATTCGTTGCGGAAGTATTCTCATGCGAGCTATAAGAAAAAAAAGCAAGATAAATGCATCACGTTTTCAGTCTATAAATAATCGGAATATACAACGTAATCTATAACGTTATACCTATATATGTATACCCATGACACATAAAATATGTAACGAAATGTCGCGTGTCAAATATAGTCTGACCGCAGTACAAAGGGCATTAGAGCAAATGAATTGTGCATATATGTTCGGTATGACTTCCTATAACACATAAAAAGTGTGGTAACAATTAGATTATCGATTTGTAGCACAGATACAGCATGTACTGTACACAACAGGTGGTATTGTTTAGCTTGCGTTCGTGAATCGCATAACGAATATGTAGTATAGGACAGCTTGCTAGACGTTTATGTTTAATTTAAAGTATGAATTGGAGCTATTCACAAGTCTCTCTTTTGTGCGCCGCATTCCAGCTTATCTCTCTCATGTGCTATATCACGATGATAAGAGTACCCGGGACTGTACTCGCGGAATACGCGGAATCCGCGCCCATTGCCACGCCGTTGCGTCGTGCTGCACTTCTTTGCACATACATTTCTTTGACGTGTTTGGCACGCGAGCAGTGTACTTTCACTCGACGGTCAATGTCATCGGAAACCAGTTTGCAATCATACGACCAGCACCAGCTGGTTCCTGTATACGAGAAGATGGAGAAAAAAAAAAGAAAATCCTGGACTCGTTCTGGAGGTTCTTTTTGGTGAGTATGTGTAAATGATTTGAAAGATATTCACGGCTCGGGTATTCTCGAACAACGAAATTACCTGCTATCGCATCGGATATTCAACACGTGATACATTTTAAAAACCATGTAATATCGGATAATTAGTCGATGCTAGGAAGATAGTTATGCGATAAATAACATTTTCACTGAATAAGTTAAACGATATTTTGTTGCATAATAGAGAACACATTGTTGCTTCTAAAAAGTTTTTAAATCGACATTATATTCTGTTATTCTGTTTTCGTATAACTCGAAAACAAATTATACACAGCTAATCTAGTTATAAAAACCAATTAAGATATAAAAATAAATTTCGGTCTGCAGAGAAATGAGAAAACCAAAAATTAAAATCAATTCAAACAACGAAAAGAAAGAAAGAAAAAGAGTGAATAGATCGTTCAATTTCTAATAGATATATCAATAAAATAAAATAATCATAAAAATAGTCAAATTATTTTTACAAATTATTTTTACAAATTATTTTTATATATCATACTCTCTAAATCTTTTGGAATAAAATCTCACTCCAAAAGACTGAAAATTGAGTCAATCTTGAAAAAAAAAGTGAAAATATTTTCATTCTTTTTTCAAGAGATAAAGCTTCGATCTATAACGTTTCTAATTCCAATGACGAATTATTATGCACGAACATTCAGTGATGCGTTAAAATATTGATTGAAAATTCCTTGCATATTCTATTCTATCTACGCGAAATAATCATACAAGCTAATAAAATTACAATTTTGAAATTCCATCAGGTTCTATTAATAATTGTAACAGGAAGTTTTATTTAAAATTTTAATTTTGCCCTTTATAAAAACAAAATGCCACAATAAAATAATTTCATTGGACATTAAATACGCTTCTGTACTCTTCGAAAATAACTTGTAATTTGTGTTTATATAGATATTTATTAACCTGTATTACAATCAGCATGAAAGTTAACGTAATGTTAACGTAATGTTAATTTGTTTTATTGAAACAATATACGCTTGTACGAAATATTATTTGTTTGAATAAAAATTTTGTTGTTTCATTCGAGAAACCTCTATTGTTTGACAGAAATAACATTATTATTTGAAGTAATATCTTTCAATCAAATAATATGTTATTTGGTTACAATAAATACAAACAATGAAACAAATTATTTGTTTGAAAATGGCAAAATATAATATGTTGATAGAGGTTATGGTAGAGGTTATGATAGAAATCCGTGCAAATAATTGCCTTCTTAGATCAACCATTATATTTTTTGGCCGAAATTACGAAAACAATGGCTTATACGTCTAACAACAAGATTAAACGAACAGCATTATATGCTATATCAATTATGTTTGTGCAGTACAATTTGATCACGCGAATGCCGAAGATAGACATTATCTGTTCAAACAAATAATGTATTTAAAACAAAGATATACATTGTTTCAAATTCAAACAATCGCACTTATTGATTTAAACATTGGTTTGTTTGGACCATTCCAAATAACAAATTTATTTGGATACAATAAAATTTATTAAATCCAAAGAAATCTTTTTCTCTGTGTGTACTATATTATGAAGATTTTACAATACACAATTAAGCAAATTATTTTATACGGAAATAAATAATGTATGTAATCTTTGCGAGTATTTCTGGATGCTCAACAGAAAGCTATCTAATTTCCATTAGTTACGTATGTTTAGTAAGCAATTATGGTAATTATATAGCGAGAACTCAGACGAATGCTTTCTAGAAAAACTTCATCATGCTGAAGTCGAATAATGTAACATTTGGAATGCAGTTCAAGGGCGCAGTACATTCACATACCGTGTAATTTACAAAATAATCTTTCTGCGGTTTCACTTTTTCTTGTGTGACGCTACACTGTATTCTATAATAATGTACTATCATATCCAGCTAATGCCTAATCGACTAGATACTAAATGTTATGTTACGCTCTGAATGTTAGCTTTTCTTTCCATTTCTACCAGCCAAGTTTTATCGTGGATTTTTTTTAAATCTCATCGACTTGCCCAATCGAATATTATCCAATTAATGCTAACCTGAAGTATGTCGGTCACGCATTGGACTGGATTACGAAAGTCTCAGATCGATTTAGATAAACAATATTCGTTAAATTGCAACGATTACGGAATATAAAGAAAAATTGATTCCTCATTCTACACAATTCTATAAAATACTATTAGGAGCTGTAATTGTATGAATATATTCTAATTAATTGATTCATTCTGGCGAAGAATCAACAGAATAAAGTCATCTTGATTCTTTAAATATCAGTAAAAAATATGTCGTATAAAGTATGATAATCGCAAAAACATTATATATGTCGCTTATTTAAAAAATGATGTAACTATTTGGAATATAAAGCCTAAATTTCATAGTTCAACAGATTTTGTTGAAAACAAATATGCTAAATATGCTCAGCAGAGACAGACGCTCCTTGGTTGCACGTTATGCCCGTATCACACTACGCATTGGAGACTGAGGATTGCGAATTGAGGATTAGAATTCAGCCAATTAGAACGAAACAGATTAAACTTAAAATTACCTGACTGGTCGAATTCTAATCTTTAATTCGCAATCTTCAATCTCCAATGCATAGTGTGACACGGGCATTAGACAGCGAAATGCATGAACGTGCGAAATGTTCTATACTTACGTGGTATTATGAAAAGATGTCACGATAACCCGAGCAATGATCTAATAAAAGAAAACGGAGAAATTTCCTTTTTTTTCGACATTCAATTCTTCCGTAACATTTCGCCATATTAACCCAATTGCTTCAATCAAAAGTTAAAACACGCCAGTTTTAATTACAGACAACGCAATATCAGACGATATTCGACTGTGAAATATTTTATTCGATATCAATAATAAATAAAGATAGAAGTATACTCACTATTTTTGCGGCCTTCTCGGACCTTATACGTAAGATCGGTGAATGCCAAGTCGACCGGGGGCCTCTTCGGCAGATGCGTGATCGTCTTCGGCTGCGTCGGGACGATCTGCAGCCGCACCGCCGAGTTCTTCCTAGGTTGCAACAAAATTCCATTGGAATCCTCTGCCGTCGAGCAATTTCCCTCATGCTTCATCTTTTAACGAGATTGTTCCGTCCTTTTCTTCTAAATGCCGATCGCCAATCGTTCGATCAACCGCGCGCGTTTTCCTTCGCAACGTTTCGAGATCGATGAATCACCTTTCGCGAAGGTAACATGCGAAAAAATTCCGTAATCGTCGATTTTTCACAACCTGCAATATCGCCCACATGATGCAATGCACTTCGCAAGACATGTTAAATATAGCGTTTGATTTTTGGGAGGGGGAGAAAGAGAAAATTATATCCGTATTATGAGTTATGTTTCCGTAGCAAGTTTGACTCGATAGCAAATCTACTCGCTGACGTTGTGATACCAGCTCTCTACGTAGAACCCGTGAAACTATTTAAAATTTAAAGTTTGCAAATTTTTTTTTCTATAAGAATTAAATTACGCTTCTTTCAATTCAGTCAAGAATCAAGACAATTAAGATTCACAATCAAGAATTAAGATTGTATACCTACTCTGTTTTATGATAATTTAAGCATGCAAGTTTCTTTTCTGCAAGTTTCTAAAAAATTACACTTCTTTTGAATCCCATTTTATGATGATTCAATACGATTCACGGAAGATTGCAAAAAAATGTTAAAAGAATAAATCGTAAATACTAAGATGAGAAAAGGAAAAAATGTTATATTTATACGGAACATCGAAAGAACGATTTTTTGCTGAAGTATCTAAAAATTTAGTTAAATACAGATCTGTAAATAATTTTGTGTTGGACATCAAAATAATTATATAAGAATCTCAATGATGAGCAATAAGTTTTAGTAGAATAAAGAAGTTTTACTACGCTCTTTATGGGTATATTATTTGCGTGACGTCTTCTGCGCCTGACTCCTATTGTCCTTATTCTTTCCAATTTCTTTTGATTTATTAGGAGTCTTTGTTAGTTTCATTTTTTATACGAATAAGTTTTAACATTCTAGCACCAAGTTTTTAAAATCTTAGTGATCAATCTTCCCAAATTAGGAGGGACAGTCCTAAATTTTAACTCTTCGTCCCAAATTTTGTCCCAAATTAAGAACACGATTATAAATTGTTCCTCTTTGAAGTGTAAAAATAATAAATGTGAAATAGTAAGTGAAAATAATAAGTATGTGAAATATAATTTTCAACAAATATGTAAAAATTTTTATGATTTTTTATTTAAAATCCTAAATATTATCCATAAAATACATTCAGTAGAAATAAAATACAACTTAAAAAAAAAATAAAATGTAATTTCGTAACATGACGTAATCTTTGTTGTAATCGCATGTGATGTTATACATTAAGTGTTAGTTGTTTACAAACATAATAATGTAATATTCGTTAACTATTATTAAAAAAATGTTTATCTATTAAAATTTAATTACACAATACTAAATTTTTTTTTAATATCCCTCTTTGTCTTCTTAGTCACCTTATCCTGCATAATTATTTTGATATTCAACAAAATTATTTTCAGATCTATGTCTAGCTAAATTTTTAGATACTTCAGCAAAACCGTCCTTTCCATGTATAAATATTATTTGGTCATATTTTTCATATTAATCCTTTAGTATACACGACAATTTCCCAGATCATGTCCGGGGTTAATTTTCATCACTCTAACAAATATACAAAAATTATTAAGTGATTCTTACGTATATTTTAATAGCCGAAAGAGATTAATCACTGATGAAAATGATTTCCGATTTCTTATATTCATTTCAACGTGATTTCAAAGTGATTTCCTTTGTTTTCCGGAAGCAATTCGAGACGCGCGTACGATACTTTTTTGTTTGATTTCAGATGATTTCTTTATTTCAATAATGAATGCTCGATTGCTTCATTGACTGATTTCTTCGCTGATTAGGTGAGAGAGAGAGAGAGAGAGAGAGAGAGAGAGAATAGCCCCTCATTAACATTTTTAGAAAGTATTCGTAAGATTGTATATTTAAATAAATTTTATATAAATGTTATAATTGATCACTTGATACTTCTAGTAGTTCTAGTTTTTCGAAGAGAAACGTGTAGGACACAATGATCCAATTAATCGTGTATACTAAAAATTAAAATGATTATATAAATATTAAAATTAAGCTGTCTCATCGCAGTATAATACGACAAGCAAAACATGAATAATTAATTACAGTTTCTAATACAGTATCTATATAATTCACTCTAATCGATTTATAGTTTCATTCCACTAAAAAAAAAATAAAATAAAATCAATATAGTATAGATCGCTAAAACATTTACGCAAAAACTGGCATTTATCTATAATTTCTTAACATTAATATATAATATCGACTACCAATTGGGCACAAAAAGATCATGTTTAATAAAAATACATGTAAAGCAGAAGGAAAAACAAGATATAAATATAAAATTGACTTGCAAATTAATATTTTATACAAGACAATACATACTTTTTACGAACAATTTCTGATCGATTGTCTGATCATCATCATAACAGACTTTTTTACAATGACGATTATTATTTTATCAGCATATTTTTACATAACTATTTCTATTGTTTTGAAATTCATTCTATACGATAAGAAACACTTGAGCCGCCATATTGCGTTCCGATAACAAAACTCACAACCAGAAAAAAAAATCACCAAGTTTTTTCCAGGAAATACACAAATAGATTTTTATAGAATCATTTAAAAAATAATCTCTTTCTTACGAAGGTTCCACTTCAACAAATCTGACAGCGAAAATCACAGAACTTAAACCGCCTCTTCAGATATAATGGCTGCGTTCAGCAGAGAAAATGAATCAGTTAGTGTTTAATATGATTCGTTCTTGCCTTTAGTTCTTCGCAAAATCTAAGTATAGGAACCAATCGTATTAAAGAATCACTAAGTGCTGAACGCAGCCGTTCTTTCGTGGAAAAGAGCGAAGAATAGAATAATTTTGATGCACACTGATTCTTACATTATTGTCGGACTTCGCGGTGTTTCCTTTTGCCGTCGTTGGAGAAACTTCTCCGCGGATACCGAAGCTAGCCCTGAGACGTAACGAGGCGCATCTCCGGATTTGGCACAAAGCGATCACGAGTACAACGTGCGAATGAGACGATCAAGAGTGACAGACGCGACGCACCCGACCCGTACGATCGCACGTGTCGCGGCGTACTCCCGAGCATACGCGACGCACCGCGGGTTTTAGAATCCCACCGGATACGCTCCGATAACAAAGCCCGCGGCAGGAAGCGACCGGTGCGGTGGGGAAACGGTGAGACGAGCGGTGCTTTACACCTTGCGATGCACCCGCCGCCCGCGACGACTCGAACCGAACTGAGCTAAAAAGCCGCTACTGCAAGTCCGTTGCCGTTGACCGGCACCGTGACGCGTCCCTTTTGTCTCGCTCCCCTGGCCATCCTACCCTTTTTCCATTCCGTGCGACTAAGGAAGAAGGCATTTACGTTGCGAAGGTTGCACATGAGAACAACGCTATCGACAGATCAAAGTCTACGCAGATGGCGATGACTAACATAATGTTAGCAACATCCGCGCCGAGGGAGGTCAGTCATCCTCTTTGATCTTATCACGATCTTTTTGTCATTTATTATACGATAGAAAATTAGAAAGCTGTAGGCAGATATAACGTCTAATAACTATTGAAAGTTCGTACGAATTCTCATTGCATTTTAACGAATCATTCTCACAATCAGATTGAGAACTTCAATACCGTCTATGCTACGTGGAATCGAAAAAATCTATGTGAGATGTAAAGCGGCGTCTATAACCTCGGATCTACAATAGAATTTTAAGCTTTAAGCCATAAGAACGAATCGTAGTCGATTATTCTCCTTGAATTCGACTAATTGGTCAATTTCTTACAGCTTAAGGCTTAAGGGCCACTGTCACCAAGCTCAGTTAACTTAACTGGGCCAATTAATCCATCGGAATTGACCAATCTGTTAATTCTTCAAACAAAATGACAAATGCGATTGATGTCGATTCCGATGGACTAACTGGCCTAGTTAGATCAACTGAGCTTGGTGACAGTGGCCCTAAAACATCTATTGTAGATCCGGACTAAGGCTAGATCCACAATCTTGCTTTAAGAGGCTGTAAGTTCGGATCTACAATAGATATTTTAAGACTTAAGCCGTAAGAAACTGACCAATTATAGTCGAATCCGAGAGGAATAATCGACTGTGATTCGCCCATTTCTTATGGCTTAAAACCCTATTGTAGATCCGGGGTAAGCCGTAAGCTTTAAGTTGTAAGGGCCCCCACAGAAAAATTTCTGTAACAGTAACCTTAAGATATGAACTTAAGCCGATGAGCCAATCGGGATACTGCTTTAGATCTATGTAATCTAATGGAAATAGAAATAGCAGGTAACTTATCCATAAGGCGAGTTTCAACTAGTTGAGACTCGTCTTATGATTACTGTTACGGAAAGTGCGTGCCATGGCTTTAAATGACGATATATCGACAACAGAACTTATGCTTTTAGGCCGTAAGAATTGGATTTTGCTCAATTGCTTAAGTCTAACGGTTAAAGCTTAAAGACTGTGTAAAATCAGTTTAAAGACAGAAATTATTGTCACTTAATCTCTTTCGGCTTATGACTTAAGGTTTCTTAAAGCAAGGTTGTGGACCTAGCCTAATGAGATTTTAAGGAGTAAAATTTAAGCACTAAGAAATTGACCGATCATCGTCGAGTATTCTCCTCACATTCGATTGTGATCAATTTCTTACGGCTTAGAGTTTAAAGCTCAAGTTTTACGCCTTAAAATTTCTTTGTAGACGCCGCTTAATGGAGACGAAATTAAATATGACTGTTTTTAATGTATTTAATCTCTTGCCATCATTTTTGGAATTAGATTACAATACAACACGCTCTTAACAGAATGTAAATGAATCGCGTCTTGAATTGCTGCTGCGAACACTCACCTAAATGGCTCCTAAGATAGAGATACGTTTGTCCACCGCGACGGTTTACAAC